AAAAAAAAGTAAAACTTATTTCTTTCGCAATGAACCAAATAATTTTAGGATGCATTCTAATGGCAATGCTTCTTTACCCAAATTTGGTATGGATATATATTTTTTATTGTCGTGTAGGAATTCTTTCCTAAATTTTCTTTTATTTTTTATATTAAAAAATGACTCAACTCGTTCGTTATAAAATTCCAATTATTGGTCATACTTATAGTTATTTGTATGACTGTAAAGATTTCTTTAAACTAATAAGAAAAGAGGTTGGTAAAAATAGTTTTCTTTGATAAATTTCTGCGTCATATTCACCAATATTATTTGTATTCATCATATTAGTACGGAGGTATTTTTAGTCTATGTAGATGGGGTCAAGTAAGGATCTTTGTTGGTAGGTACTTGTTTAGGTTATCTCATCTAATTTATAATATGTCCCAACGTAACTAATAAAAAAATTTAATAAAAATCCGTACTATATTATAGGAAAGAGCATATGCATGAGGTATTAGCAAGGGACGACGTATTTGACTTTGAAATAGTAATTAAAAGGAATATTCCAGGAGACGTAATGTTTGTAAATGGATTAGGTGACTTTAAATATAATGCAGCGTTTGTTAAGAATTATATCACGAAAAATTAGGAATATATACTGAACGCAAGCAAATAAGTCTTCATTCAGGCATTCAAAGGTATATCGGTGAATGTGTAGAGCCAAAAGTTCTTAATCGATTGTTCTATAATTATCGCTGCGCCTATAGCAAATATTTTTATTGGCGAAGTAAGCGCTCAATTTCTTTTTTTTTTTAAAAAAAAAAATTATTTTAAATGTTTTTATTTCTTTTTCATTTTTGTTTTAGGAGGAAGCAAAGAATGATGAGGTTTTAACCACATTTGCGGTGATATGATAATATTTTTAAATTACCGCCGATTCTTGATTTTGTTTATCCAGGACTTCAAAATTATCCATCTGCTAAAAAACGAGGCTGATTAGTTAAACATGTAAAAAAAACAAGTTGATAAACGGTTACAAGAATCATGAAACGTCCTAATGATTTGCTTCAAGACTTTATAGAATACAAAATGTTTGATCCTAATAACATTAACTACATTGCTATTGCTGATGCAATAGCTGCTTTAATCTACGCATCGATTCATAAAACATCACGAACGTACTTATCGATGTGGCATCTCGATCTGAATATATGCAAGAATAATATGAAGAGCAATTAGAGGTTTATAAGAAAGCAAATAAAAATGGTATACTCCCACTTGAAGCTCTCAATAAAATGAAAAAATTGGATAGCTTTCTTAAAGAATCATTAAAACTAAATGAAAACATAAACAGGACTTTCACATCTTGCATTGAAAGGTTATACATTTTCAAATGGATTGCAAGTACAGTAATACCTCCATAAGTGCACGCACCTAGGGCCAGCCATGCACGTGCACTTATGGAGGATGTGCACTTATTAAGTAGCCAATAGAAAAATAGATTTTATTAACAGCATTTATTTAAACAACATTTATTTAAACAGCATTTGTTTAAACTTCATGTATTTAAGCTAATTTTATATATTTTTAAACTCCATGTATTTATTTAATCTCAATAAACTCAATTTATTTTTCAATACACTAAAGCAACATATTTTGCGAAAATAGAATTACTTTTTAATAGAAATATGTGTTAATATCAGTTTATCACATTAAGCTTGTCTTTTTGATACTAAATAATTTTTCGATTTTTCCTACTAACTTTACGTATTCTTCCGTGTTATCCTATTGAAGTAGAAATATACATACAGTTTCTAAGCTAGAAATTTCAACACTAGGACTAATAACGGGAATTTCATCGCTATCATCCATTTCATATAAATCCATATTCTTCTTGTCAGTATTCTTAAAGAGATATACGAGTTATTCAATAGCTTGATCATCTTTGGAAACTTTGTAAATAATATCTTCTTCTAGTATATTAAGAAACTCTTCTGCCTGCATTGGATAGGGGAGATTAAGAGCTTGAAGTGAATATGCGAGATCACAAAATACCAAGTTTTCATTTTGGCAAATATCCTCTGAAACATTTCTAAAATCTACATTTGCATCGGAAAAAATTTTTGTGTGATGTCAGCAATTACTAATTATTTCAGCATTAACTTCATTTCAGGCTTGGATAATAAAACAAATTGCCTATAAGACATCGATATGTAAATCTTCCGCATGGTTACCTGCCTCTATATATTGCAGCATCAAACTTTTAAAAAATGAATAGTTAAATTTGAATATTAAAATTAATGGCAAATCTAATAATTTTACTTATCGTACATGAGAATGGCGATAGTGTCTTTTAAAGGACATAATTATTCTGGCATTCATCGGCTGAATTTTCAAAGTCATATTTGGAGGCAAAAAATGGACATCAGTATATTGTAATATAAGGCCAGCTAGCTTATAGCTGGAACAATTATCAAGGAGAAGTAACATACGCTGGTCTCTATGTTTTAGACCAACTTGATGATTGAATTCCCAAAGCCACTCTTAGAAGAGCGATGTGATCATCTAGGTTTTGGCATTATTACGGTATATCATTGGCATAGTTTGAATTCTTATATTTTTAAAGCAGCGCAGTTTTTCAAATTTTCTAATAATTAAAGGTTTCAATTTGTGTGAGCCATCGGAATTTGCACACAATGCAACTGAAAGGCGTTCTTTGTTCACTTTACGCCTAGCAAGATGTTTGGTTGCGAGTATTCAATCGGGTTCTAACCTACAAATAATCAATACTCATACAAGATAAGTAAATTTTCGTGTATGATTTTTTTTGGTTTAAGGATTTACCTATAAAAAAGTCCTGTTTCATCTATATTATAGATCCTTTTGAGAGAATAGTTGAAATAACATTCTCTTAATAAGGTAAAGCATTGGCAATAACAGCTTCATTAGCAGATAAAGCTTTTCTTTCAAGCTTTCGTTGGCGAATTCCATTGCAGTACTTAAACTTATGGAGCCATCTTGAGGAAAATTGTAATGTATCTCGAGGAATATCTAATCCATCACCAATCATTTTAGCTTTTTCAATAAGTATCGCATCGCTTAAAACTGTTTGATGCTGGTAGTTTAAAACAAATTCCTTGAGAGTAAGCTCAAGTTCTGCATAAGTAACTGCTGATTTATGGTGTTTTGAATTTGGATTAATAGTTTCTAAACTAAGCCGTTCTTCTGCTGTTTGTAAGATACGAGTAATAGTGCTCTCATTAACTCTAATACTCCATTTATCTTCAATCCAGTTAACATACTGAGCCCAGGTCCTTTTATTATCTCGAGCATAAATACAAAGTTCTCTCTTTTGGATTTCAGAAAGAGTGGTTCTTTTGAGAGACATTTTTAGAGATTTATGACTGATTTCAATATTATTAAATAATGATAAATCATCATTTTTCTTTTCTTAATTTAGATACATGACATAATCCAACACACTAATTTTTATTCTATAGGGGTTTGTTTATATATTGACATGCACTATTTATACAAAATATTCTTCAGCTATACTAATTTGGGATAATCGATCAAGCGAAAATAAAAAATGGTCTTATACTTGTAAATACTGTATAAAAAGATTTATGATTTTATTTTAATAAACGTCATATACAAATTTATTTAAATTAAAATTATTAATTATTAATTTATTCTATTTTAAAATAAATATAACCAAACAGTTATCAATGATTGGTCAATATTATGTAAATTGTCACGTGAATGCATTTATAGAGGGTGTTATAATATAACTGGGACTTGGAATTGCTTGCACGTGCAGAACATAGAGGGAATGCATTTAGCTCTAAGTCTCAAGCTTGAGACTGAGCTATGGTATGCATATAGAAAGGGTGTGCACTTATAGAGGTGTTACTGTAGACCTTTTGAAAAATGTCTTCAAGGTGCAGTAGGTGTCTACTTTGCTTATCAGGATAGACATACAGATAATCTCAAACAAATTTTAAAGCTAAGAAGCTTAATCTTACTTAGATATTGTTAAGCTAGAGGGAATTCCAATGCCTACTCCAATTTGTTCATGAACTTTTCAAAAGATTGAGGAGATGAATCCAGATATCTCTATTAGTGTCTAAGAATGGAATGAAGAAACAGTTACTCCAAAACCAGTAATAGCCAATAAGAACTTTAAGAGACAACATAAAATTTGTCTATTGGCCCTTACAATAGATTAATTTATGAGAATACTATATAGGTAATATTGGGATTCTGGAATAAAAATCCAAAAGATATCCAAAAAGGTTTTCTGTTCACCCATGAATCCATTTTAGCTATATGAATCAAATTATCGAATTCAAGCCTCTAGTGCATTTTGACTCAATTCTAGATGATGATATTGAACTTGTCTTGAAATTAACCTTCAGATATCAAGAATTATACTGTTTGATATAGCTATTCTAGCCTGATTTTAATCCCAAATAATATATAAAAAATTTTTACTATTCTGTTTGACTCAAGATGAATCATCGAAAATCAAGAAACAAAGTAACGCGATTTGAGCTGGACCTGATATTGCATACGTAATATGAATAATAGTGATACCTGACAAAATTACCTTTCTTAATATGACGAAATTGACGAAACTGAAATAACAAAACTAGTTTTTTATGTATAACAAAATTATTTTGCTTAATTGCTGAAATTATATTTAACTTGATCTAAATTTCTTGAATTAAAATATATTAAAAAATAATATAATTTTATATTTATTTATATAAAAATATTAAAGAGACGAAACTTTTGACGAAATTATAATTTTTCAAAAAAGAGT